CTATGTGTTGGAACCAATTCAACGGCATTTAATAGTAACACATGATACACAAGGGGACTTCAAAAAGTTCATGGAAAAATGAAACTAGAATGTAATAGAACTTTCCCACAAACTTTCATATATATATATATACTACACACACACACACACATTTTGAAACTCTTTTAAAAGGAGAGCATCACTTTTTTTCCTTTTCAGAGTCTGGTTATCTTGTTCTAAATATAAGTTTCTCAAAGAAACAACCAAACCAAATATATACTTTCAAGTTTTTCCACTTAATTTAAAAGGTTCACTAGTTTCTATGAAGAAGATGACCATAAATTAGCATAATTGTTTGTTATAATTGTATATTTTTATATTGCATTATGACTTAAGAACTAAGTTACTAAGTAAAGTGTCTTAGACTTTTTTTTTTTTTGGTAATTTTACAGTACTATTTTTGTCTCTTAAACATGAAAATATTAAAGTATTTTGGGATCTATGAGGACTCTTCTTGCATCTTCTGACTTTTGTGCTTTTGTAATATGTCATATGAAAATTAAGGACTTACCTGGACTCTAGCAATACTTTTACCATTTTCCTAGAACAAATTCCACGCTCAGAAAATTTCTGCAATTCAATTTTTTCTGCCAAATATGTATAATGAGACCTACCTCTTGTGCTTATATCATTAAGGCAAAATAAAATCAGGTAATTAATATAAAGTGTCTGGCACATAGGAGACACTCAAAACCCAGCAATGCTCATCCTTCATTCCTCTGAATTCACTGCCTTCATTTTGTGAGTTGTAGTGAGGTAGAGATACAAAAGATGGCTTGGGAATCAATGAATCAAATCTTAACTCAAATTTCTATCATCTGTGTGACCTTGGGCAAATGTCCTGGTCTTCTTGAACTTCCTTCTTCTATAAAAAGGAAAACGTAGTCAGTCCTACTTTGCAGGACTGCTATGAGGCTTACAAATAATATATATGAAGTATCTAGCAAATGGTTGGAACAAAGTAAATATTTGTTTTGTTTGTCCTTAGGTAAAATGACTTCTGTTCTATAAAATGGAGCTATGACTCGGTTTTGTGAAAGTGCTTTATCACATGACTGTCTGGAATTTCAAACATCTAGAAATGTACCTAATTATGATTGTTTGGTTGTCTTATTTAATCATGTCTAAGTCTGCTGTGGCCCTGTAGGATAAGCACTGGACTTCAGGGTTGATGGTTCAAACTCACCAGCCACTCCTCAGAATCAACTTGAAAGCACTTAACAACAACAAGCCAAGTTTGGGACTTGTGGATATGTTTAAGACTCCATTACAAAACAAGTATAAAAAATTGGTACCTATCAGCTCAGCGCTCACTGACATCCCTGGTGTAAATGTAGCCCACCTTCAACCAGAATCTTGGAAAAGTTACATGAATCAGACAGATGTAGTCGGCACGAGATTACAGGCCAAGAGGAAGAGGTCGGACTGTGGGCAGTATATTTAACAGGCTCATACACTGCAAGCCTTGTTCCTGGTCCCTTACAAAGCTCCTCTTTAGCAGGAAAACAAGATGTTCTTTGTAAATAAAAGTTCATGCATTTGAGTAATGAAGTCATTTTCCAGCTCTGCAGTGAAAGATATTCTTCTCCCAAACCCTCTGGGTGAGGACTATGGGGCAGCAGAGGGGTGGCCAACAAGTTTCGAGAGAAGATATTAGAGTGCAGCTGCCATCTATAGAAAATTAGAAACCTCAAGAAAGTGGGCATCCTGCCCTTGTACCATCTGAGATCATCTACCTCTGGCTTCGGCCTCTGGAATCCCTTTGCCACCCACTTTCCTGCAAACCAGAACGAACTACATAAAAGAGCTACATAAATACATAGAGTCAGCCCTCAATATTCCTGCTATCTGAGGATTCAAGCAAAATACTTGATAGAGAGAATTAAACCAGTTAACTTGTCAAAGCAATTCCTCAAAAGCCATGAGAGAGCATGAAGTGCTATTTACATAGTATTTGCACTGTATTAGGAATCCTTCTGTGGTGTTGTACATTAAGCACTGGAAGGCTGACCAAAAAACTGGGGGTACAAACCACTAGCGACTCCTTGGAAATCCAACAGGATCCCTATGTGTCAGAACTGACTTGACAACACTTAACAACAACAGTAGGTATTATAATTAATCTAGAGATCATTTAAAATATATAGGAGGATGTGCATAGGTTATATGCAAATACTACAACATTTTATGTAAGAGAGATTTACACATTTGTAGATTTTGGTACTTGCCAATACTCTAAAGAAAGGTGAGTTGCAGAATGCAGAAATTATCAAATAATATCACATGCAAGTAAAATTTTGCTGAAGAACATTAAAAAATGTTTGCAGTACATCAACAGCCCTCTACTTTGTTGTTGTTGTTAAGTGCCACCGAGTTGATTCCAACCCATAGCAACCCTGTACAGGGTTTCCAATCAGCAGCTGGTGAGCTTGAACCACTGACGTTGCAGTTCAAACGACTTTGCAGTTTGACTCATTAGCCCACAGCGCCACACCAGGACCCTCTACTTTACCAACTATAATATCCTTTTGCTGGGTCTAGTCCCTCCTGATAATGTGACCAAAATACTAAGACAAAGCCCCTCTATCCTCGCTTTTAAGGAGCATTTAATTGTACTTATTTCAAGACAGACCTGTTTGTTCTTCTGACAGTTTATGACAATTTTAGTATTCTTCACCATAATTCAAATGCATCAATTATTTTCTGATCTTCCTTATTCATTGTCCAGCTTTTGCATGTATATGAAATAGTTGAAAATGCCATGGTTTGGATCAGGTGTACCTTAATCTTCAAAGTGGCATCTTTGCTCTTTAACTCTTTAAAGAGGTTTATGTAACAGATTTGCAACACAATCAATAGGGAGCTGTCAGAAGTTCAAGGGAGATTCAGAAGAGGACATGAAAAGAGAGCTATCACTGCTGACTTCAGATGGGTCTTGGCTAACAGCAGAAAATACCAGAAAGATGTTTACTTGTATTTTCTTGAGTATGCAAAGGCATAATTCAACTGTGGGGATCTTAACATTTCAAAGAATGGGAATTCCAGAATAGTTCATTGTGCTTTGTAGAATCTGTACATAGACCAAGAGGCAGTCATTCAAACACAACAAGGGGACACTGAATGGTTTAAAATCATGAAAGATGTGTGTCCGGGCTGTACCCTTTAACCATATTTATTCAGTCTGCATGCTGAGCAAATAATCTGAGAAGAAGACCATGGCATCGGGATTGGAAGAAAGCTCTTTACCAACGTGCAATATGCAGATGGCACAACCTTGCTTGCTGAAAGCAAAGAGGACTTGAAGCACTTACTGATGAAGATGAAAGACTACAATCTTCAGTATGTATTACAACGCAACATAAAGAAAATAAACACCACCCCCCAACTGGACCAATTAACAATATCATGATAAATAGTGAAAATATTATAGTTGTCAAGAATTTCATTTTACTTAGATCAATGCTCATGGAAACAGCAGTTAGGAAATCAAGCAATCTATTGCACTGGGCAAATCTGCTACATAAATCTCTTTAAAGAGTTAAAGAGCAAAGATGTCACTTTGAAGATTAAGGTAACACCTGATCCAAACCATGGCATTTTCAACTATTTCACACACATGTGAAAGCTGGACAATGAATAAGGAAGATCAGAAAATAATTGATGCATTTGAATTATGGTGTTGGTGAAGAATACTGAAAGTATCATAAACTGTCAGAAGAACAAACAGGTCTGTCTTGAAATAAGTACAATTAAAATGCTCCTTAAAAGTGAGGATAGCAGGGCTTTGTCTCAGTATTTTGATCACATTATCAGGAGGGACTAGACCCAGGAAAAGGATATTATAGTTGGTAGAGGACCAACAAAAAAGAAAATCACCTCCCAATGAGGTGGATTGACGCAGGGGGAACAACAAATGAGCTCCAGCGTAACAACTGTGATGATGAAACTGGACTGTATCACTCTATTGTGCATAGGGTTACAATGAATGGGAGCCAACTTGAGCACACCTAACAAGGCAGTTTTCCTCTGAATACCAAGAGTTGTTAAGTGCCTTCAAGTTGGTCACTTATAGCGAACCTATATAGGGTTTCCAAGGAGCACCTGGTGAATTGAACCTCTGACCTTGTGGTTCAAACCCACCTTGCGATCCAGTGCATTATCCACAGAGCCACAGCAGGATACGAAGAGAGGACTGAATAAATATGTCATCAGGTAAGGAGCTTTGGTAGCATAGTGGTTATGAATCGGGCTGCGAACCTTAAGGTCAGCAGTTCGAAACTACCAGTTGCTCCGTGGATGAAAGATGAGGCTTTCTGCTCCCGTAAAGATTTACAACCTCGGAAATCCTGTACAGGGTCGCTATGGGTCAGAATCGACTCGATGGCACTTAACAACAACAAAAACCTTGAATAAGAGATGTGAGGAAGCAGTTACAAAAAGCTACCTATTCATTTGGAACCCTTGGAGTGGCTCCAAAATGAGAGGGGAGGGAAGGTCAAAGGAAAAGGCCTGACCTTGGTGTCTGAAAGGCCAGCTTGGAGGGGGAGGGCTTGGAGTGGAAGGTAAAAGGGAGTGGTGAGAATGAGTGTGGGGAGGAAGCCAGAACTAGTGAGCTCAGTCAGTACTTAGACCCAGACAGACGCTAGAAGGTGGCTGGACACTCACTGGCTCTCCCCATCCTGTCTGCCTTTGACACTGTTTAAACTCTATCCAGTTGTGTGTTCTTCAGCCGGAGCCTCCGGGATGAAGAACGGCAAGAGAGAGAGGGCGAAATTGTGAGGAACAGAGAGAGAAAGGGGGAGGGGGTGTGTGAGAGAGACTCTTACTCTCACTCCTGTTTTAATAAGGAGCTGGTTGGGCTGCTTTGAGCTGCCACATCTGGAGGTTGCAGGCAGAGAGAAGGTAAAATCATCGCGAACAGCTGCACCTCGGACCTCCGAGGGGACTGAAGAAGACAAACCGCCCCAGGAAGAGCCCTGTTGGATGTAAGCGGAGAGATGGCATTGCGCTTGACCTGGTGCTCGGTGTTGTGTCTGGGGCTGCTCTGGGGCGCAGCCTACTCGGGCGCCTCGGCGTCCAGGGCGGACAATGCTTTTGACATCGAAGGGAGCTCAGCGGTCGACAGACAAGACCAGCCTGAGACAATTGAGTCCCATGTGGCTCACGGACGGCTGCTGCCTACTTTGGAGGTACAGTGTCCCTACCACCCTGTTTGGCACCTGCGTCCCGCGGATTGTGCCACACTCCTCTTCCACTCTCTCTTCTCCCCTCTTTCCCTCCTCTGGCACCATTATGAGTTTCAGCGGGACAACGTCAGCTCAGAAGTTTGAAATAGTTTGACTTTGCTAGTTGGATTTGAATGTTGTGAGTTGAGAGTTGAGACTTTGGAACTGTTCAGACTGACTGAAGTGTGTGCGTCCTGCCTGCTTTGTTCTCACCTGGGTCTGCAGTGACTTTCTGCCTCAGGTTCATGAAGTGGACCTGTCCTGGTAGAATCCTTTTGTCAAGTCACACCACTAAGTGTGTAAGCTCTGCCACTGGCTTCCTGCTTCTCTGTGATGTTAGGACACTGGACCCATGTTTTGTAACAAATACAAAAGGACTTTAGAAAGCTGGTAGAAAAACTCCATTTATCTTTTCATTCCATTTTCCATGAGCTTTGTGAAGCCTTTTCATAGAATGAAAACAACAGGAGAGGATGAGTGAAGTTTGGATGGTAAGCCTCGAAAGAATCTCTTAAGAGATGGCAGAGCAGATCCGTTAACTAGAAAGCAAGCCATTATTTTCCAGAAAGAAGTTAGGATTAAAACCAAGCCCCATTACAAAAGTAAACATGATCAGCATATGCTGTTGATAGGTTTATTCAAAGAACTACTGTTGGAGTGTGTTACTGTTAAGTTTTATGTTGAAACCAGAACTTTGGTGAAGGAGGATGGATCCTTAAGTGATTTAGGAGTCCCTTGAGCCAAGACAGACAACACAAGTCCACTGCGTGGGAGATGCTAAGTAGGAGGAATACAAAGTCACCTAAGTTCATGGGAAAGGAAAGAGCAATTGACCTAACAACAAACACATAGATATATACACACCCTATGGCAACAGTTATAGCAACCGTACAACCAAAACAGAGATGCAGATTGACTGTATTTTTAAGAGCACTGAAGCCTGGATTATTGCTATTTATTGTTAGTATAACTGTAGTTAATAATCATTACTAATAAAAATAAGGTGCATGATGATGATTCTTTTCCCAGAAGGAACCCTTCCCAGACCAAGAAGGAAAAAAAAAAAAAAAAAAATTAGGGTAGGGCCAAGATACACCAACCTCCCACCATAGTGCAAAATCCAGTCTCCTTGTGAAAGAGGGGTATGGCTTCTGGTCAATTTCATTCCCAAACACCGAGGAAAAGATGGACCAGAAGAGACTCTCTCTGCGCAAGGGCTTCACTTCTCTCCAGGCTTGGGATTAATCCCCAGATGCATTATCTCCACCTGTTGCTTTGGGCATGAAAATGAAATGCCTGAATGAAATGCCAGATAAAAGACAGGATACCCAATTATATTTGTATATCAGCTAAATAGCAATGTCCTAAATATTACATGGGACATTTATATTAAGAAAGGAATGTTGATCTAAAACTCACATGTATCTGGGCATTCTGTATTTTATCTACTGTGTCTCGTAATTTTATTTAAGAGACAAGCATGCATCACTGTTTTTTGTAACTCTCCTTTCACAATAATTAAGAAAATATTTATTTGATTTTTTAGGGATCAGAAAGCGAAGTATTTGCATGCTGATATTCCCAAGTTCAATTTCAACTTCCAGCTTCTTGACATTGGGCAGTAAATGAAGCTGATGCATACAGAAACCATTGTTGCCTATGTCATAAGCTATTATGTTTAAGTTAGATAAACTACAGAGAGTTCTAGTGCTGTACCTGATATAGTATAAACTGTATAAATGTGTTATATACAGCAACTGTTGTTATTATTATAAAATATGTTGACAGGAGTTTTTAAAACCTTATTTGGTGATCTTTCTCAGAACTTTATTTTTTATGAGGCTATTTTAGTTAATATTACTATATTCTGTTTGGTTGATTTCCTTCCAACCAGAAAGAATCCACTATAGTTAGTGAAATTCATAATACTGTCAGAGTCTAATGGGTTCAGAATGCCAGTTTGGATCTTTGGTTTAGGAAACAGAAAGAAGCTATTAGTCATTACAGGCAGGTCAAAGTATATGGTGTAGAAAGGGTGGGATTGGGATAATTATGTTCCCACTGCATAGTTTCACATAATACTTCCAGTTAGCCTGTGGTCCCTCGGTGATCCCAACGCCCCACCATCGGGTTTCCCATGCTTTTTATAGCCAGTAAGCGGACCTTAAACCAAATACATTCCGGAGACTTAATAACATGGTATGGCCACTCTGCTGAATTGGTTCAGGAGATTGTATTTACATATATATTTATAGAGAAGGAGAGGACGCAAGCACATAAAGTACATTATTGATGGGAGAGGTTTGAGATGTGGATGAGAGGATACTCTAAAAATATACTCACTTTATTTGAATTGGATTTATATAAATGGTTGTTCCTCAATGCCCCCTAGGATTTTATTACCACAAGAACTTCAAAGGGAAAGAAGAAAAATATTAAGGCAAGCAAGGAGCAGTGGGAGGCACTTGGCTGAAGGCCTTCCTAAAGCTTTTCCTGAGCTCCTCCATGGCAGGGCCTGTGTCCCCTTCACCCTGGCTCTTCAGCCCATACCACATGGGGTTTCTGACATGCCATGGGACTCAGTATAAACTAGGGGAAGAATACATGAAATATGTGCAGAATAGCTGGCTGACCAAGAAGGAAGGCCCTTCCTTTGCCTCTAAAACAAGTCCAAGTATCCCCCAGTATGAAAAGATTTTTAAAAGACCACCACCCATCAGTTACTGTGCTAGTTGTGTAGATAATTTTCCCATCTTGTACTTTTTTTTTTAACAAGCAATATACAGAATCTGTCATTGCTGAGTTTAAAGAGCAATGATTATCAGGGCAGACATTCAACATTCTAATATTGCACATTTAAGAAAGGAAAGTGTAGTTGTTGTCTCATCCATATAATTGAGAGTTAAGCTAGGCAAAAGTCTTCGTGACCATATAAATTCATAAAAAAACTGGAAGAGTTGCAGTGATCGAAATGGGAGCATGCCCCAAGGGGCGGATGTCAGTGTTCTTTGGGAAAGTGAAGTTCTAGTCTATCAAAAAAAAAAAAAATCAACAACAACAAAAAGAAGTTGTTAAGATCAAGAAACACTACATTAGAGGTTGACCTTGGGTGACTAGAAAAGCCATACAGAGGCTCCAAAAAGAGAGGGATGCAGAACTGCAATGGAGAAGATGAAATGGAAGATGCTAGAGGGGGCTGATGGTGGAAAGACTGGCTTTCATAGATAATTGAGAAATTAAGGGAAATAACTGACAGAATTGAAACTAGCATGAGAGGAGTCCTGGTGTGGCACTCTGGGTTAATGCGCCAAACTGCAAAGCTGTTTGAACTGTAAGATTAGTGGTTCAAGCTCACCAGCTGCTCCTTGGAAACCCTATACAGGCTCACTATGGCTCAGAACTGACTCGATGGCTCTTCACAACAACAACAAACCAAGAGAGGGTAAAACAGGAATTTATATTCTTGTCATCTGACTGGGTTTTGCTGTTATTATTATTGCTGTTGTTAACTTTCCAAGAAAACAAGTGCCCCATGAGCCACCTGTGATAAATATACTTGACACTAGACAAACTTAGTCGCTAAAAAAGCACTATGAACTAGACTAATGCTGAAGACCTTTTTCTCTAGACTCTTTTTGTTGATATGTGATCCTACATCCCAATACAGAGTTAGGCTCCCTGCCATTAAAGGATTGCAGGATGTTTATTAAAAGACATTTCAGATAGTTTTCACTCTCTGGTTTCTATTTTCTTATCTTGGTCCATTTCTTTGAAAAAGATCCCATGGAACACATTAAGATCTGCTGTCACTAGTCAGCAGTCACCAACTCTACTGCTGTTCCAGCTATGCAATGGTCATCCACACTCCTGCATACAGTCATCTTGCCACCCATGTATTTATTCACCCAGTGGGCAGTTTGGGAACATTACCATGTACAGAGCAGTAACGTGGGACAAGGACAGGAATAAAGAAGGCAGATTCAAAACCCTATCCTCAAAGAATATGCAGTCTAAGAAAGAAAAGATATACACAGCGCTATATAAAGCAGAGTCCTGATGTGGTGCTGTAGGATAAACATTGGCCCACCAGGTCAGTTTGAAATGTACAGTCGGTGGTTCAAATCCACCAGCTGCTCCTGAGAAACCCTGTACAGGGTTGCTATGAGTCAGAACCAACTCTATAGCACTCAACAACAACAGCATACAAAATAGAATGAATTCATGGTTTTCTAAGAGCGACTACAGTGGGGACATGTGGGAAAAGTATTACTTCTATGTGCAATCACCTCCTTGCCAAACACCAAAGAAGGTTGTTAAAGAAAATATTTTAGAAAGACAGAAATTTAAGTATATAGTAGAGGTAGAAGGAGCTCTGGTAGCGTAGTGGTTACCAGTCGGGCTGCTAATCTCACGGTCAGCAGTTTGAAATTACCAGCCGTTCCTCTGGAGAAAGATAAGGCTTTCTGCTCCTGTAAAGATTTACAGCCTCAGAAACCCTATACAGGGTCACTATAAGTTGGAACCGACTCCACGGCACATAACCACCTCCAGCACCACCACCAGTAGAGGTAGTAATAATAACACCATATAACTAATACTTATTGAGTATTTCTCACATGCCAGGCACTGGTTTAGGCAATTTCCATGAGCTACTTTCTTTAACTGGTACAAACATGGAAACTGAGGCATAGAGAGTTTACCTAGACTTCCTGACTGGTAAATGACACAGGTGGACAGGAATTTTTTAAAGGCAGTTCCACTGTATAGGAGTATCTAAGAAAAAGTGGCTACATCAATAAAAGTGTCTATATGATAAGTTTGGTGCAGTTTGGGGAAATTCTTAATATGAAGAAATTTAAAATGTAATACAAAGAGCATTTATTCAGGGTTCATTGAACGAGCAGGATAATTGCATACAATTTTAAGGTTATCAAAGAAATAAAAGAGTCATTTTTCTTCCACAT